GGAACTTTAAAATTTTAAAATAGTAAAATGGTATTTTGAAAAGGGTATAGTTGAATTTGGGATATTTTGAATAATTTCTCAATTAGTCATAGACATGACACTAGGGACTAGATGATTAGTTAATTTAACTTGCTCAGTAAAGACCCTGTTTTTTTAAATTATTGAATTCTCGGCTATCTAATCCTTGATGTGATCAATACGAGTGAAGAATGGTAACTACGACCAACACTGCAGAGACCGCTTAATTAAATAATCTTATCTAAGTGATAAGTAATGATTGTCGGTGTAAATGTGCGTGAATTGCAAATTACGTTTTGAATAATTTTAAATAAAACAAAACTGAGTAACAACTTACTTGTAATGACAAACACAAACTCAAAAAATTGAGGAAGAATAATGAAGTATGTAAATCGAAGCTAAATCCACGTTTCATAAACCTAATTCCAAAATAATTGAAATTCGCTATTCGTTAAGGATTTACCCGGTGTAAGATATCACATTCTTCGAGGAACCCTAGATGCTGTCGGAGCAAATGATCGTCAACAAGAGAGTAACACATTGAATATGGAATGAGTTAAAATTTTGTGATTGCAATATTTGACTGCAGTTCTTGAGTTAAATACTTGAATATTATTTTGAAGCATACATGGTAAAATGTCAAATCAGATTGCAGACTATTTTTCCCTTTGTTTTTATTGTAATTTAGTTTTGATCGAGGACACGTTTAATAAGTGTAATTCTTACATTTATCTCAACCTTTAAATGAGGTATTTTTGTGGAGTATATCAGGTGTTTTGGAATCGATTATTAATTATTTTAGTTCATTTCCGTGATTGTAGGACAAAATTTCTGAACTTGAGTATATTGGTTTAATTGGCAAGAAAATGAGAAATTGAGATTTTGAAATGAAGATCAAGATCTAAACATTGGAGGACGAAAAAGAAAAGATATCAAGAAGAAACATGTAGTAGTAAGTAATAATGAAGAGTAGAAGTGAAGGGACATGTAATGGAGTCCTAGGACACCCGCTTGTTCGTTCTTCAATCCGAGCCAACTTTTGATTAATTACGTTCTAGTCCCTGAACTTAAGCTTTCTTGCAATTTAATCCTATTTTCTTTATTTTTCCTTCAAATCCGTACTTTTCATCGATTGTTACCTTTCAAGTACAATTCAAATCAAATTAAGGTATTATTCGTTAAAACTTAAAATAATCGACAAATACTCCAATTTCAATATCAAAATAAGTTTACAAGCGATTATGCATGATTTAAAGTGGATAAGTGTAGGTGAAATGGAAGTCCAAATGCCTTTCACATTTCAAACTTCTCAAAAGTTGTCAACATACTTTAAAGAGAATATATTCCAAATTAGTGTCTAAATGATATAGAAAGTCTCATCAAATTTGTCTTATTTAAGAAGCATAGTTCTCAAAAAAGTGCAAAAAGGAAAATAAAAAAATTGACAAATTAAAATGGCAAAAGTTGAAAGACACTTCACATTCTGTTTCTTAAAGCGACCTTCCCGTCTTAGTAATAAAGCATTAAAAATGGCAACAAATACTCCAACATAAACCACAACTCACAAAAAATTCCCCTCTCCAACTCCAAGTAGTGAGATTTTAATCTAGCACCAAAGGCCTCTCTTTTATTTACGATGACATTAGTAGAGGTTCTTGTCGATTTGTTCATTAAATAAGAATAAAGTAATCTACAAATTTAGATAATTTACTACACATGTTCAAGTGAATCAATTCAAACTCAAATGGATTTATTTATGATATGATTAACTGACAAAGTCGAATCTAAAGGCAAACGAGTCGAGTGACCTGACTCGTACGTGTTTGATACCCATTTTAATGGGTTGAAAAATTTTGAAATAGTGATTGATGGGAGAATGTGTTGTGAAAATGATGAAAAATTTTAGATTTATGTGTAATATTATTTTATTTGGAGATCGTGTGATTAAAATGAAAAAAAAGAACGAGACTGAGTGCCAAACATAAGCTTAGCACCCAAGATGCATTCGTGCCGAGCATGCGATATTAGACGGATCATTTTCCAAAAAGAAAAAGGAAAAGTGAAATTCCTCTAACGCCTCTGTCACTCCACCCCACCCCATCCCACCTACCCTACCCTATCCTATCCACCGTACCCTGTCCTACCCTACGCTACAGAGTCCCCGTCCCGACCCGCTTTTATGGTACAAAAACAAAATCTGATTTCACGACAACAAAAGCCTTAAAATCTTCGACAGCGTGGGCAACTGCGAAAACCCAGATTGAAATTCCTTTCAAAATTACCAATATAATCATCGTTAACTATTTAATTAGTGGAAAATTCGAAGGGTGTCATGGCTGATTATTCCAAGGAAGATTTCCTGCAGCTGATCAAGCGTGTTGGCGCTTTTTTCACCATCAAAATTTCCAATCTTTTCCATAATTTGGTTCAATTTCTGTCTCTATCTGTTGGATTTCTTTTCTATATGTAGTTATTCATATCTAATGATTTTTCCCCATTTTTATGTGAATTTAGTGATTCTAATTATAGGCTTCTCTTATTTTATTAACTAATATTTTGAACTTTAATGGGTACTTTTATCTTTCGTGGCGGATGAATTTTTGTTTTATTAATCGGTAATAAAATAATGGGCTTACAAGAAACTGAAAATTAGTTATTTATTTATTTATTTTTTTTGTGATGAATTACGGTAAAAGAAAAAGAAAAAAAATTTACTTACCAGTGTGATAGATAGCCAACACTTAGTTGTTAGTATTAAGAAATGATCTCCCCCCCCCCCCC